TCAGTGATCTTTATTCTCGATACTTGTAGGCAATTAAATACCACACAACAAGTGCCAGCTTAAATTGTTTATACTAATAGATTAGAAAAAGTATCTCACAGAAACCCCATGGCGGACAAGGGAAAGAGTCCAAACAAATTCCCTAGTAACAGACTGCCTTAACCAAAGAGCCATTTGCATTCTCAAGTGATATAGAACAAATCAGATCAGTGAAAATACTGCGAGTCACTTGGATCATTCAGACAAGGGTTCTGAAGTGAACTCCTGCTCCATCCTGGTAGTTGCTGTGCTGGAGGTCAACAAAGAACACTACAGTAAATCTTAAATTCCTCTTTGCTTGAATTAAAATTCCTAATTAACACAGACTTAGGAATCATACAATAAACTTGAATTTTTTCTCACAATGTGAGGAAACAACTAGGTACAGAGAGAGGAATTCAGATCACTTTACTCCTTCAAGCCAGAAAATGTACTTCAAGCCTAATCCTGTTTCATAATCTACTGGGAAGATTCCAGTTGCGTCAGCTGACAAGGAAATATTCCTCTCAAATCAAAGATGATCCGGCTATTGTTACTGTACTGCCCAGGAGTTCCACATCACTGTAGTGGTACGCATTACTTGTCTTCAGTAAAGCCCTTCAATGAAAAAGACAAATCACCATAAAAATGCAGAAATCCAATAAGAACAGACCAATCTGGAGCAATACAGGTGATAAAATTGTGATAAAATTTTAAAATACTGGTTACTGATTTATATTTTTCTCCTAATGTATGAAAATGGCAAAAGAGCTAAAAAAAAATAAAAAAATAAGTTTCCAAGTACTGTACAAGCAACCCCGACGAGAAAGGGTTAAAAAATAAAAATAAATTAATTAAAATCAAATCCTATAACCAACAAATTTAGTCCAAATGATGAATGGTACCTCAAAGCTGTCAATAAAGACCTGAAGAAGACCTTGGCCAGCTCAGAAGGAAAATGACCAAGAATTCGAGGTAATTATATACTGTGCATTAGGACTTTCGCCAACCTCAGATTTCTATCCGTCGATGCCGGTATCCTCGGGTTTACTCTGTACCGGGTATACCATTCTCACCAAACTACTGCATTGAATGTCGAGTATCCGCGGATTAGTGTGCATCTTATCCCTCTATGTATCTAATGTAATCTTCCAAATGGGAGGAATGAAAATACCTGACTAATAAAATGAAAAAATACTGCATTGTCATTTAAGTAAAACTATTTTAAGGGCACACGAGCTTCCTCTTCCCAATAACGATAGTCAGCTAACTCCACGGATGTAAGAAAATGGCTTGCCCTTTATGCTTTTTGACCTTATAAGCAGTAATAATCATTTCCTTCATTAATTTTTTTTTTCATCGGAATGAACTATTGTGTGCAATGTACAGTAAAAAAATAAAAAATAAACATAATTTTTTTAATAAACTACAAGTTGAAAGAAATAATAATGTGCGTGCCTCACAGCTTGGCCTGGTATGAGGCAGAGATCCCTATAACACTACACCTATCCCATGATTCAACATTTTGCTCCTGTGACATAAGAAATGTTTATTTTCTTATGTTTATAACCTTATGATAACTACTTTTTTTTTTTTTACACAGTCTGTATGAATGATTGGAGTGTTCCTGTAACAGTGTTAAAAATGAATAAAATTACGTATACGAAAATATGAGTTGAAAATAACAATAACACAGTTTAGCTGGTAGGGGTGGTGGGCTACAGGGACAGTCTAATTTGGATAATCTACAAGTCCACACACACATGTTCACTTCATACACATACACAATTCATGCTCTCTTCATTTTTCTTATTTTATAGTACGCCATTCTGGGGCGAGATGTATTGTAAAAATTTATATTAATAAGGTATTTAATTTAGATTAAATGATTTTTTATACACAGTACTCAAATTTAATTAAATGTATGTTACAGGTCTTGGTTATAGTGAAGGAACAGGCACTTCTAGGCCTGACTAGTGTTATCCTCGCGAGCCATGGGGTTTTTCAGGAACCTAACCCCTAAGAGTTGGTGAGGGACTACTGTACTGCCTTCAGTGACTGGAAAATTAACCTTCAGTCTCGACCAAAGCTTATTCCTAGCTCTCTTTCATCCATCCACATTCAAAACTCAACCATTTCTTGAACCAACTGGTTCCATCATCTATTCCCACATACTAGAACCATCTCAGCCTACCCTCTATGCAAACCTCACCAATACTATAATATCAGTAAAATTAGCCTGGTTTGCACACAATTATGCTTTGCATGCCAATTTTCAGGATGTATCCCTATGATAAGTAAGGACCAGTGTATAACAGCTCTTGCATTACTGTCATTAACCTTTTAAGTAATTTCTCTTGAAGTGAATCAAATTGCAAAGACAAAAAAATCTCACAAAGAGAGAAAATTAAAGACTCTATTGTTGAGGTAATATCAGGTTTAATGAAGCAGGTCAGTCTCTCTTAAAGAATATGGTAAATATATCGATGATCTCTGAGATTGTTTTGTAAAAGAGTGAGTGCATTATGGTGGAGTAACAATGTACCTGTTGGGTATAGTGCATTGCTACATCAAAACAATTGAATGAAAGAATAAACAAAACAATTAAAATATACAAATACAGTACTGCAAGTAATCCTCATTTATCACAAGGCTTCTGTTCTTGAAAAACTCTTAAGATGTGTGAAATTGCACACATTGTACTCATGCAAACTCATATCCCATTAGAAACAATGGTATGCATTCTTATTAAGTATACATCAAAAGTTAACAAAATTGTTAAGTGATAAACATTAAAGCTTATAAAAGTTGATACAAAATAAGACAACGCACATTTTATGTACAGTCAACCCATCCTCTGGCCGACATGACAAAAATTAAACCAGGCAGTCACCCTGCTGATTCTGAGACGGTGACTGCTGCCATGCTGTGTGTTGTGACTTCCATCAGGAAGGAAGAATGCAGCTGAGTGGAGAGTTGGCAATGAAGTTAAGTTCACTGTCCCTACACACACATTCACTTCACACACACACCCATACTCTATTTATCATATTTTATAGTTTATTATTGTAATGATTTTTCCACAACTTTTAAGTTTTATTACATGTAACAATGCACATGCCTTATTCCCAGTTTTCCTTCTCAGTGAGTCAAGCTATTGCTAAACCAAATTTTGACTTAACGTTAAGTGAGAATGGGTGTCAAATTTTTAGCACAAAACCGAATTTAAGGAGGAATAAATGCAATGAAGGATACCTGTACATGAACATCAAGACAGGGAGGCACCGGCTGGCTGTGACTGCACTGTGTCAACAAGAACAGGAATTTAATAATACATACTATAACTGTAGCTCATCTGGAGTCAAGTGGATTTTTTAAATTTATTATTTTCCCATAATGTTTTATTATCCTAGTACCAAATGAACCCCAAAATAAGATGGGAATTATGGTGAAATTGCATAACTGCTGTATTAAATGAGGTCAGGGGGTGGCGAATGTTCAAGAACCAATTCACTTCCTACTCTTCATTTTTTTGTAGTTGTATATTATTCAGTGGATATTCTACTCATGGACATTTCAACTTACCAACCAACAACCACCACCATTTACACCCAAGTTACCACTATTATGGGCATAAAAACACACTTAATAAAGTTAAGAATGTATAAAAGATTTAAGCTAGTGGTAAATATATGAGAGGATTGTGTTTTCACCCTCTGAAAGCTGAGCATGAACTGATGCATCTCTGCAAATTTAAAAGATTCTTACTGTTACTTTATCCTTTTCACCACAGATCGGCTCGTTAGCTGCTTGGGAAAGGGTGCTCTGTTGGAAGTAATTTGAGTGCATGATTAAAAATTTTCCTTGCAATAGCATTTAAAAAAACACACACTTGGATATTTTGTACATACAAATCAGATATGTGACAACACAAAATTGCAATACAGGTATCCCTTGCTATATGGACATTTGTTTACACGAATATTCTGTTCTTATAAAGTATTTCTTTCTCAGCGTGCATCCTCATCCCTAGAGCATTAATGAATGAAGGTACACAGACTGCACTTTGGTAAATTTCAGGTCACAGGTAGGCTTACAGTAGTGGTACTTTACCTTTCTGATGGTTTAATGTGCATCTTTTTTCTTTTTTGTTTCATGCACAAAATTTATAAAATATCGCATTAAACTACCTGCAGGCTATATGTATCCATATTCGGTAAATGATATCCATGAATTTTGTTTAGACTTGGGCACAGGCCTCTGGGTGAGGTACCTGTACCCCATTATACAGGTATACAGTGTACAGGTATCCCAAAATCTGAAAAAATCCAGAACCGAGACACATTCAGCCCCAAGGATTTCAGATTTGGAATTTTCAACCTGTTTACAAAGCTATTCACTTTTTAACAAATAATGGTCCCTTAAGAACCTAACCCATCTGTATAACGAGAGATACCAGTATGTGATTTTGGGATAAAAGAGGATTACCTATACAATGAACCCTCACCAATTCAATACCTCATCAGTTTAAAATTATATACAGTACAGTTATTTGCAGTCACAGGGATTTCTTGTTATTTGCGGGTTGCCAATTTGCAGTAAGCAGATGATGGCTAGCAGTGCAACGAGTCACCCTATGTGCCCGCGCGTCTCATCCACTCTGTTTGCCCTCACCAGTACCCGTGACCTAGCATCCCGTGTCACACTCTCAAACTTTCGTGTTTCTTTGCGAAAATGGCCCTGAAAAGACTACCTAGTGCCAGTGCTGCTAGTGGAGGAACAGAAAAGGCAGAAGTCAGTGATGACCCTGGCAAAAAAAAATTGAATTGACAGACAAGTTAAAAGAGGGGGTGAGTGCTGCCGCGGTTGGCCGGTTGTTTGTGTGAACGAATCCACAGTGCGGTACATAAGAAAGAATGAAAGCAATTCGTGATTCTGTTCATGAGTGCTCCTGCAAGTGCTAAAGTGGCGCAGGTTGTTTGTGACAAGAACATTGTAAAACCGAGAAAGCACTGAACATTTGATCGAGGACTAGCACAGCAAAATGTTCCGATAGACGGCAATGTGATTTGTGAAGAGGCTAAAAGTCTTTATGCTCATTTTTACGAGTCAACAGGTGGTGAAGGGGCTAGTGCAGTGACTGAACCAACTTTTAGTGCCAGTAAAAGTTGGTTCGAGAATTTTAAGAAAAGATTCTCGCTCCATAATGTTAAGCTGACTGGGAGGCCGCATCAGCTGACCACACAGCCACAGGTGCATTCCGCCAAGCTGAAGAAAGGCTATAGACCAGAGCAAGTGTTAAATGCTGATGAATCTGGTTTATATTAGAAGAAACTACCTGGTACTGTAGAACATATATAAACAAGCAGGAAAGATGTGCCTCTGGGTTCAAAACCAAGGACAGAGTGATGCTCATCTTCTTAGCAATGCAGCTGGCTGCATTATCAAGCCTGGCGCTACCGCTCAGCAAACCCTAAGGCTTTAAGGGAAAAACAAGCTTTGCCAGTGTTTTGGCAGTCCAACGAAAAAGGCATGAGTAACTGTGCAAGCTTTCCTGGGCTGGTTCCATAAATGTTTCATCCCTGAAAGTGGAAAAATACCTTGCTTCCAGAAGATGGAATTTAAGTGTATTATTGATAGAAAATGCACCAAGCCCCAGAAAGTTTGCAATTTAGCCATCCAGGTGTAGAGGTGGTGTTCCCACCCCAACACCATTCTTTATCCAACCTCTCGATCAGGGTGTAATACACACCTTCAAGGCATATTATACATACTGCTCTTTTGGTCGTATCTGTAGTGCCATGGATGAGACCCTGACCTTGATGTTAGCAAGTGTTGGAAGAGTACAACATTACAGACTGCATTATCCTTCAGTGAATCATTCAGTGAGCTTAAACCAGAGACAGTGAATCCTTGTTGGCACCCTTATGGCCTGAGTGTGTGAATAACTTTCAGGATTTCCGTCCATAGTGAGATGTGAATGACATTGTGAATGTTGCACGTCAGTTGGGTGGTGAGGGTTTGTGGACATGGCTGCTGAAGATGTGGAAGCCAATTGGTGGGCATGGAAGGAACTTACAGAAGAGGATTTGAAGAGTTGGTAAAATTGCCAGAAGATATGGAATTACAACATGAAGGTTGGAGTATGAAATTTTGGTGAATTATTTTGTCAGGTAAAGATGGTGAATGATTTCATTGTTGACCACGACCCTTCCATGGAACGCAGCCTAGATGGTCCGAGGAATCAATCAAGTATTGTTTTCCTATCAGGAAATGTTTCAAGAACTGAAAGCAGAGGAAACAACTGCCAATCAACATTTTTTTTTTTAAGAAAGAACCAGCTAGTGCTACCGCTGCCGCTCCACCCTCCTCTTCTCCCCAGCCACGCACCACCTCACCACCCTCTCCAGCCACCCACCACCTCCACCACCTCCTCTTCTCCCCAGCCACACACCACCTCACCACCCTCCCTCCCAGCCACCCACCACCTCACCACCTCCTCTTCTCCCCAGACCACACCACCTCACCACCCTCCTCCCAACCCACCACCTCCCCCCCTCCTCTTCTCCCCAGCCACCCACCTCACCACCTCCTCCCAGCCACCCACCTCCACCACCCTCCTCTTCTCCCCAGCCACGCACCACCTCACCACCCCTCCCAGCCACCCACCACCTCCCACCACCCTCCTCTTCTCCCCAGCCACGCACCACCTCACCACCCTCCTCCCAGCCACCCACCACCTCACCACCCCTCCTCCCAGCCACCCACCACCTCCCACCACCCTCCCCTCTTCTCCCCAGCCACCCACCACCTCACCACCCCTCCTCCCAGCACCCACCACCACCCACCCCTCCCAGCCACCCACCACCTCCCACCCTCCTCTTCTCCCCAGCCACGCACCACCTCCACCCACCTCCTCCCACACCACCACCTCACCACCTCTCTTCTCCCCAGCCACGCACCACCTCCACCACCCTCCTCCCAGCCACCCACCACCTCACCACCCTCCTCTTCTCCCCCAGCCACACCACCTCCACCCTCCTCCCAGCCACCCACCACCTCACCACCCTCCTCTTCTCCCCAACCGCACCACCCTCACCTCCCAGCCACCACCACCTCACCACCCCTCCCTCCCAGCACCCACCACCTCACCACCCTCCTCCAGCCACCCACCACCTCACCACCCTCCTCCCAGCCACCCACCCTCACCACCCTCCCCTCCCCAGCCACGCACCACCTCCCACCCTCCTCCCAGCCACCCACCACCTCACCACCCTCCTCCCAGCCACCCACCACCTCACCACCCTCCCTCTTCTCCCCAGCCACACCACCTCACCACCCTCCTCCCAGCCACCCACCACCTCCCACCCTCCTCTTCTCCCCAGCCACACCTCACCCACCTCCTCCCAGCCACCCACCACCTCACCACCCTCCTCCCAGCCACCCACCACCTCACCACCTCCTCCTCTCTGCCCACTACCTCACCACCCTCCTCCCAGCCACCCCCACCTCACACCTCCTCCCAGCCACCCACCACCTCCACCCCTCTTCTCCCCCCACGCACCACCTCCACCACCCCTCCTCCCAGCCACCCACCACCTCACCACCCTCCCTCTTCTCCCCCAGCCACGCACCACCTCCACCACCCTCCTCCCAGCCACCCACCACCTCACCACCCTCCTCCCAGCCACCCACCCTCACCACCCTCCTCCCAGCCACCCACCACCTCACCCTCCTCCTCCCAGCCACCCACCACCTCACCCTCCTCCCAGCCACCCACCACCTCACCACCCTCCTCTTCTCCCCAGCCACCCACCTCACCACCCCCTCCTCCCAGCCACCCACCACCTCCACCACCCTCCTCTTCTCCCCAGCCACGCACCACCTCACCACCCTCCTCCCAGCCACCCACCACCTCACCCCCTCCTCTTCTCCCCAGCCACGCCCACCACCTCCTCCCACCACACCACCTCACCACCCTCCTCCCAGCCACCACCACCTCACCACCCCTCCTCCAGCCACCCACCACCTCCACCACCCTCCCTCTTCTCCCCAGCCACGCCCACCTCACCACCCTCCTCCCAGCCACCCACCACCTCCACCACCCTCCTCTTCTCCCCAGCCCGCACCACCTCACCACCCTCCTCCCAGCCACCCACCACCTCACCACCCTCCTCTTCTCCCCAGCCACGCACCACCTCACCACCCTCCTCCCAGCCACCCACCACCTCACCACCCTCCTCTTCCCCTCAGCCATCCACCACCTCCCGGTCGCACACCACTACACCAACCACCACTGATTCACCCTCTTCCACCAGTGATCTTGATGATCCACCTATGCTTCATTAACCAGATGTCTCCCTATACTGAATACAGTACACCACTTCATCAAGCTCCAGACTTCCACATACAAATGTAAGTACATTATTGTGACTTAAGTTTCTCATACACAGTATAGGCATACCTGTATATTAGTGCACTAAGGTATTACAGAAATGGCTATTTGCGGTTTTACCTATTCGCGCCATTTCTTGGAACCTATCCATCGCGAATGGCAAGGGTTTACAGTAATTATTATTCTTTGGTCACAATAGGGGTCTATAATGCTTGAAACATTCAATCAGATTTTCTCCACTCCAACAAAGGGGGTTCCAAGAAATAAATGGTCTTAGCTAAGAGGTGCTACAAAATTAAGTTAAGTACTTATTTCTCACCTTCTCCATCCAAGTATAACAGTCCAGAAGCTGGTAGTAGAGTGGTAGTTTATCTGGTGAGGGGTCCAAGGACAAGAGCCCTGTGTTACCCAGATTTACAGGGTTTGAGGGTGGATTAAGACCTGCTACTTGAGTCTCCAGTTCTCTGCAAGTTAAAAATATATATAAACAGGCTTTTCTTCCCAACTGAAATTCTCAATAGCTTAAAAAATTCATATTTTAACTGAATAATGAAGGACTGATGCTGAAATTCCATTACAACCATATCTGGCTTGGGCAACTCCTATATCAGCCAAAGACTATTGGATGAGACGCCCAATCCTACAATACGAACATGTATTTAGCCATAATCAGGGTAAAAAAAATTTTCTTTGCCTAAAAACCACATAGAGACATGAAATCACTGCCATATTAAGTGTTCGCATTTTCTGCCCCATTATTCCCATCTTCTTTCAGGCCCTACTTACTAACAAATAATTTATCACCCAAAGAACATCTGGAAAATATAGAAGAAATATATAAAAGCGTTCGGGTGCTAATCATCTGCTCCACCTTTACCATACAATGAGCTAGACTTTCTCCAAATAATAAGCTTTGTATTGGGAAAAATTAAAAAAAAGCGAGGTTAGTTATTTTGGAACTACAGTATGTACTCACATTTCAATCACATGTCACTAAAACATACTAGCAATGTTTACAACCCAACAGGCTCCTTGTCATTCTGTACAGTACTACAGTGGTCCCTCGGTTAACGAACACAATCCGTTCTAGAAGGTTGCTCGTTAACCGAAAAACTCATTAACCGAAACCATTGTTTCAATGGGTTTTTGGGTAATTGGTTCCAGCTCACCGAAAATTGCCTAAATTCAACAAAAAAGGTAGAAAGGTTCACTTACTTTGAGGTGTGTATGTAGAAGGCTCCTGGATGATGATGGGGATTAGAATGGGGGTGGAGGAGAAGGGAGAAGAGAAGGCATTGGGGTGGAAGAGAAGTCACCCCATGGCGCCATTTCACCCATAAAATTTTAGTTCTCTTGGTGTAATTCAAGATTATTTTCTTTAAATCAACACTGCACTGCATTACATATTGTCAATATGTAAAATAAACTTCAAAATGACCAATAATTTGCTTGTAAACACAGAAAGAAAAGCGTTTAGCTGAAGAGAGTCTCAAGCAAGATGTTACCTCCACTGAAAAGACAAAAAGACTGACGCCTGTATGGTGTGTTGGCAGGCTGAATGGCGTGCCACAAACTAGTGACCCTACCTTCAATTATGTTCAATAATTGTTAAAATTACTAAAAAATTTAATATTAAACCATTAAAATTATTGAATAGTATAAACTTCTTGATATTTACCAAAAGGGTAAGGAATTTAAGCCCTAGAACCGATTACTGTATTGGCGGACTAATACTACAGCTGTTGGACCGCCAAATGCAAGCTAAAACATGTGGAGGTCAGCTCGTAAGAAACTCGTTAATCGAGGGATTGCTCGTTAACCGAAGTTAAGAATTTTATGGAAGGTAACTCGTCAACCGAAATCTCGTTAACCGAGGGACCACTGTACAGTACAGTATTTTAAGAAAAAGCTGCGACCCACAGATATTTTGGCAAATGATAATGGTAAATGTTCTATTTTAGGTAGAATTGTTTCTTATGTTATGTGATGTGACATTTTGATTATACTGTATAGGTGTTTTTGTGACTGTATTAGCAACTTATTCTTTTCAGACAAGTCAAGAAATGAACAACGATCTCATCGGGAGTGTTTATTACAATTTATATTGCATTGAATTCGCTCATTTTCCTAAAGATGTTGTTTGGATAATAACCAAAAAATCAAAATGACAATTCACAGGTTAGGAAGATAGGTAGGTTAGGTAACATTCTAATAAGGGTATTATTTTAGTTTTGGTCATCCAGGGACTTGTAGGCCTACAATTTTCAGAAAGTATTTTTCACAGCAATATTGTGAAACAGAACTGGGTTTGTGGGCCAAGTCCGTTGTTGACAGGAAACATTATTGCAGTGAGGTCTGTATGAACTGGATGGAAAACCAGGAACCTATTGGTGGCCCAAATGCAATTGTGGAAATTGACGAAAGTAAGTTTGGTAAGAGGAAGTTCCAACATGACCGCTTAGTGAAGGGTATCTAGGTTTTTGGCAGCATTGAGTGTGGATCGGGCTGCATGTTCGTTGTGCCGGTTGAGAAAAAGTGACGCCGACACCCTAGTTTCTCATTGCCAGAAATTTATCACGCCAGACCACTACTATCTACAGTGATTGCTGGAAAGCCTACTCGAACTTTTGGTCCTTAGGTTATAACAAACCAAACCGTTAACAACAGCGAAAACTTTGTTGACCCTGATACTGCAGTGGAAGAGTATAAAACCCTGGGTTCTGAGGGCTGGCAACAGGGATTACCACTACAAGCACTACTTCGTTCGCTACCTGTTCTGCCACATTCACCAAGACCACAGCACAATCCTTCATCACTTCCCCAACACTGTGGCTCGCCGTTTCCTACCATCACAATAACAAATAACGGTATTATTGCGTTTTAACATCACACATTCCTACCACTAATCTATTATCATTCGAATAAGTCGTCTAATTATAAGATAATTTTCATCTATTACATTACCGGCGCAAATGTATAATAATGGAGATAGCATATCCAAAATGTTCTCTATTTTCTTCCATTATTCTTCCGCCATTATCGCCTACCTCACCTCCCACACTGATGTCTCCTTCATAAATCATCACGCGCATGTGTTCCCGTACACGTCACGCGGCCAATCAAAAGCGTTTTTTTGGCAACCAATTAAAATGATTTTTGGTTTAATTCGCTGTAATTTTGACCCAATCAAAATCGATTTTTATTTTGGGTCTCTCATATTTCCAAATTCATATTCATTTCCGACCATGGAAGTGTGTGATGGGTGTCACTTAAATTATATGGAGCTGATTGTGAGTTTTGGGAAAAAAACTAAAAAAACTGGAGCATTTTTTCGATCGCATGGTGTTCTCCCAACCTCAGTAAAGTGTCATAAGTGCAAGACAATGTAAATATCGTCAAAACCAACATATGTGGCGTTGTCCTAACTCGTCCCTTATCCCAAAGACAAAGAAGAGACAGCAATAAGGTAAGAAATAGGTGATTCCATCATATGGTGAGAGTCGGTTAGGTTAGGTTTTTGCTTTTTCTAGTGGTTTTTTGGTGTATTTTTTATTCGCTTAGCCATTTTTTTTTTCGGAAAACGTCCCAAGAAAAAAAATCGATAAAAAAAACCGGCCAATTTCCGCCGGAAATGAAGGTCATATTCGGTCTAAACACACACAAATACACTAGAAAAATATATTTTTGACTTTCTAACAGAGTGTGGTGTGCTTATGCAAATTTACCCAAATAAATCCGCCGCCCAAGCTGCATAAGCGCCGATGCAGCCGGCTGCTCTCACATCCAGAAACAACCTTAAATTACACCATATTATAGTAAGTTCTTTCTATTTAATATACCGAGGGGTCCCGGGGTTAGGTAAGGTTAGGTAGGTTTATTTGGTTAGGTTGGTGAGGTGTTTTTCATACCCACTAAGGTTAGGTTAGGTATAATTTAGAAATAACTTTTTAACACCTTTTCACAAACTAAAAGTGTCCACTATATTAAATAGTGAAATTGCAGCGTTTATAAAATCATTTTTTTATGAAAAGTCGCCCGCGGGACAATCAATGATTACCACAGTGAAATTGCAGCTTTTCAAAATCGTTTTCTTTAAATTTCGGCCGCAGTTTAGTCATCAAGGTTAATATATAGGCCTAACCAGCCAAGGCTGCATAGCCCCGATGCGGCTGTATCATCTCGCGTCTAGAAAATGCCTCAAATTTCACCATATCATAGTACTGTAAGTTCTTTCTGTTTAATATAGCGGGGGGTAGAGCCCCTATAAGGAAGTTAGGTAAGGTTAGGTAGGTTAGGTGTTCTTCATACCCACAAATGTTAAGTAGCGCTTATTTAAAAAATAATTTTTTTTTAACATATTTCCACAAACTACAACAGTGGCCACTATAATATAACAATGAAAATCCGGCGTTTTCAAAATTGTTTTCAATCAATTTCTTTGGCGGGTTAATCCTAAATAATTACCGTCATCAATTATTACCCTGTCTCCTCCATTAGTTTGTGTGGATTTTCAGTTTTGGCTCTCAGGTTGACATTTTCATGAGATTACCTAAAATAGCAGAACCTGATACTTCAAAAGTTCCCCGTCTCGCTTAATGTCAATAACGGACCTCGTGACTTTATATCCGTTAAGTATTACCCAACAAGAACACTCTAATTATTCTGGTTTTTTTCAGAAAATCTAACTATGCAACAAGTCCTATATATTCATAACTTAAAGCTCACCGTAAATGGCATTTAACATCAGCCATGACCTTCATTGCCTCCTCGTGTACACTCTGTCGCCTTCTGAAATGAAGTTGAAAAAAAGGGTAACACTACTTCTGAGTGTTACAGTAAGAGTCTCCCGCCATGTTCACTGAGCAGGGTGCCACATGTACGACCTTCACGGCCAACTTCACGCCATCTCACGGCCAAACAGTCACTGAGCAGGGTGCCAGATATACGACCTTCACGGCCAACTTCACGCCATCTCACGGCCAAACAGTCACTGGGCAGGGTGCCAGATGTACGACCTTCACGGCCAACTTCACGCCATCTCACGGCCAAAACTTTTTGGATGGGAAGCACAAGGCTATTTTTGCAATCCACACAAAATAAAAGTATCCCCTACAATATCCACTTAAAATGTCGTAATAAAACCAAATTTTCACTTAGAATTGAGAGCCCAATAATTACATAAACATAATATCTATAATCTACAGTGAAGATTTACCTTAATCTGAAATGGTGGTGGAGCATGATAATGGTGGTGGAGCATGATAATGGTGGTGGAGCATGATAATGGTGGACAACTTGATAACACTAGTTGGCGTAAGCACAAACGTCTAGTTAGTCATCGTCCCCTGGTTTGTTATATTTTCTACCACTGTCCTAGGACCTTTTCATTTACTAGTGGACATTTTGAAAACTAACACTCGGAATTTCAGAAAGTAACTCAGATGGCTTTGTTAGCTCTGAAGCTGCCTATTGCAGACTCTTTATTTTCTTATGTTCTTAACTGGGGCTAGGCGTTCCACCATACCCTCCTCTGTAGTGCGTCGGATATTTAACATGTTGGAATAGAAAATCATCTCTCAGAGTTTCTACGAAAAGTGACTGGATTATTTAGGTCGTTTGGCGTGAATTCATTTCTCCAGTCGATGTGGCCATAATTAGTGTTCCCCATGACAAGGGTGGCTAGGGTTCTGCCCCGGTACATTGTCAATTAAGTTTCTCTGGTTTAATACACTACATTTTGGGGGTATGAACATACATCAAACAAGGAGTAAGTCTCTTGCAAGTTTCTTGGGAAAGGTTCGTAAATGAGTCATATCCAACTCACATTCGTCCGGTTCGATTCTCCTGTTTTTGTACTGTAGTGGATACCTCCCTTACAAACGCTGAGTAGCCCACCCCGCGAATTACCCAGTGTCTAGGTCAACCAGCGCCGCCTTACATGACGGAGGTCAACTACTAAGCTACGCCTACCTCCGCTACTAAAGACCTGACCTCGTGGTGACCTACCTCTACCTACACCAACCAACACCTCCTCCTCCTCCTGCCTGGTGGTCCTCGCTCCTCCTCCTCCTGCCTGGTGGTCCTCGCTCCTCCTCCTCCTGCCTGGTGGTCCTCGTTCCTCCTCCTCCTGCCTGAGTGGTCCTCGCTCTCCTCCTCCTCCTGCTGGTGGTCCTCATTCCTCCTCCTCACTGCCCATTAGTCCTCGTTCCCCTCTCCTCCCTGCCTGGTGGTCCTCGCTCCCTCCCCTCCTCCTGCCCCTGGTGGTCCTCGCTCCTCCTCCTCCTGCCTGGTCCTCGCTCCTCCTCCCTCCTGCCTGAGTGGTCTCGCTCCTCCTCCTCCTGCCTGGTGGTCCTCGCTCCTCCTCCTCCTGCCTGGTGGTCCTCGCTCCTCCTCCTGCCTGGTGGTCCTCGCTCCTCCTCCTGCCTGGTGGTCCTCGCTCCCGCCGGCGAGCATGGCGACCCACAAGCTGTCCTCCTCCAGCACCCTCACCAACCAGCTCTCTCTACATCACGCTTGTAACCATGCTGCCTTCCCACCATTGTACATCCAATACAACATGTATACAGAGAGCACATTGTGAGTTTCCTTCATCCCGAGTGTGAACCAACAACATATACTGTACCGGGTTGATGTACGCCGCTCTTTGGTCGTCTCACTATTAGTGTACATGACCTTCAAGCCGGAGTTTGTCCTCTGCAATGTCTCTGGTCTTGGTATTGCAACACCGGCTCTCCTCCAGTTACCTTTTATCCTCTTCACCACTGATCTGCTCCTTGGTGATCACTGTAGCCCTTGTGATCTGTGGGGAGTTTTGTATTATTACGCTAAATAACTAAGGTAACTTACGCTGAAATACCTTAGTAAGGTATAACTAAATTAATAATTACACGAGACATCAACAATTAAAAAATGTGAGAGCATTTGTAATTATTTTTGTATTTCGTTTTTCTTTAAGTCTGGATCTAAGGAAACTATATTTTTAAATTTAAGTAATAAATATTATTTTTGAAGTATGACAAATTTGAAGAAAAAAAGTGGAAGGTGAATCAGGGAATCCTACACTATAACCTAGATTATGCATCATGATTATTCACGTGACAGACCAGACATAGTTTTGAAGAAAACAAAAAAAATAATAATATAGTATTTTAAGTAAGATAAAATATTTAAAAAATATAAATGTTTCATTTATAAAATATGAAAAACAAAGACAAAAGCATGCAATGTGTCAAACACCTGGTAAGAGTGACAAAATCTTGGAACGTGCCTAAAGAAATGTCAGTTGATGGAGAGCTGTTGGAGTGGATAGACGTCAGTGTATACTTTTACTTTTTCTAGTATTCTTTATTCTTCAAAATGCCGTGGCCAAGTGAGATTGGCAGTAGTAAGTAACGTGATTATTAGTAAATAATGTACTTATATTTATATTAAATTACCTTTGCGGTAAATTTTCATTTTTAATCAATATGGCTCGAGCCATCAGTGTCCAAGAGGACCAACGTAAAGTAATGTTTTTTTTTCCAATGGTTTAGGCTATTTTCTTCCATGACGTTTTTCTTGCAAATGAACTACCGGTAATATTTAAGTCATTTGCCAGGGAATCATCATAGAAGAGTCTTGAAATTGTCTAAATCATCGGTTAACACATTTGATCAACTCGAGAGCCTTATTGGTTGAAAATGACAATTATATACATATATATATATATATATATATATATATATATATATATATATATATATATATATATATATATATATATATATATATATATATATATATATATATATATATACTGTATATATATATATATATATATATATAACTATATATATATATATATATATATATATATATTAGTATATATATATATATATATATATGAGTATATATATATATATATATATATATATATATATATATATGTATATATATATATATATATATATATATATATATGTAGTATATATATATATATATATATATATATATGTATATATATATATATATATATATATATATATATATATGTATATATATATATTATTATATTATTATATGTATATTATATTATATATATATATATATATATATATATATATATATATATATGCTGATAACCACAAGGAAAGAAGAAACTCTGAAGTTCCCGCTTTGTAATTCACATCTTCAGGGGTGAGGACAGACTAAGGAGAAGTACATAACAAGGTATACAGTATATATACAGAGAGGTGAGATCAAGTCCACAATGGTCAGGTATTAGGTAATGACCCTACTAATCTTCAAGCACCGCAGCAGTCGGTAGTCAGGTCATTTGAGTAATGGTATGTACAAACTGGATAATTTCGTAATTAAGATGATTTGTAACCAGTGCATGTACTGTAGTTATACGTATTCCATTTAATTTTATGGTTTTCTTATTAAGTAGATAAATCTCTTTAATGAATACAGCATCACATAACTGTTGCAATGCCAGACACTATCTTAAGGTAAATAGATGAATTAGCTGGTGTGATTTAAATGCATATTATTATTTAATTACTGAACTGTAATGTACTGTACTTTGCTTTTAGATCCGAGCCTCCTAGGATAGATGTTGGCTCTAAAGGCCTGAAAATTAACCTGGACACAAACTATTTTCCAATCAGTGTTAAAAATAAGTTTGCAGAACTGGTTCATTATGATGTCTCTCTAAAAAAATCTTCACGAAAAAACGAAATGTAAGTATTATGCATTGCTTTTGGTTTAGTTTTACCACTCCCATCAGTTTTGTAGTACTGTACTGTAATTGTGTTCTCATTTGGCATTAAACAGCAGAAAAGGTTTGAAAAAGAGCAAATATAAAAGTTGACCCTCTTTTATACTGTACTGTCTCCAGATGATCTGATCAGTGTTAGCTAGAGGATGATCTGTATTAATGGGTATTGATCAGTGTTAGTTGGGAGATGATCTGTATTAATGGGGTGATGATCAGTGTTAGTTAGAGGAGGATGATCTGTATTAATGGGGTATTGATCGAGTGTTAGTTAGAGAGGATGATCTGTATTAATGGGGTATTGATCAGTGTTAGCTAGAGATGATCTGTATTAATGGGGTATTGATCAGTGTTAGCTAGAGGAGATGATCTTATTAATGGGGTGATGATCAGTGTTAGTTAGAGGAGGATGATCTGTATTAATGAAGTCGCTGAATCAGTGTTAGTTAGGAGGATGATCTGTATTAATGGGAATTGATGATCGGTGTTAGTTAGAGGAGTGATCTGTATTAATGGGAATTATTGATCAGTGTTAGTTAGAGGAGATATCTGTATTAATGGGGGTATTGATCAGTGTTAGTTAGAGGATGATCTTATTAATGGGGGTATTGATCAGTGTTAGTTAGAGGAGGATGATCTGTATTAATGGGGAATTGACCCGATCAGTGTTAGCTAGAGGAGGATGATCTTAACTTATGTGGAAATTGTTGATCAGTGTTAGTTAGAGGATGATGTATTATTGGGGTGATGATCAGTGTTAGTTAGAGGATGATCTGTAATGGGGTATTGATCAGTGTTAGTTAGAGATGATCTACTTAGCAGCTAATTATTGATCAGTGTTGGTTAGAGGAGGATGGTCTGTTATTAATGGGGTATTGATCAGTGTTAGTTAGAGATGATCTGTATTAATGGGTATTGATCGAGTGATAGATTGGGGAGACGATCTGTATTAATAGGTATTGATCAGTGTTGGTTAGAGGATGATCCTGTATTAATGGGGTATTGATCAGTGTTAGTTAGAAGGAGGAGGATCTGTATTAATGGGGTATTGATCGAGTGTTAGTTAGAGGAGGATGATCTGTATTAATGGGGTATTGATCAGTGTTGGTTAGAGGAGGAGGA